TTTAACGCACGCAACAGCTACCTATTTCGTGCATTTCGAGCGTTTCTTAAGCCTATACAGCGATAACGATCGATGCCACGTGCCGCATGCAAATATAAAAACGCTTTTCTGGCCGAACGTGAGCGAGTGAGCAACTGTTCTACAAAAACGTTATACAACACTTACCGAATAAACTCTTTTTTTTTTCATGTCGAACGTATTTTTTATACATCTCTAACCAATTATTAATAAAATCACGTTTTTTTAAGTCTTGAAAGACATTTATTATGTATATAATAAAGACTTAATAATCAAAATAGAAAAGCGATTGAATGAAATTGATAAATTAGCTTATCTAACAATAGGAAATTAAATTGGATATATTATATCGTACAAATACAAACAATATTACAAAACTGATAATCGAATGAGATAACTTCAACAATAATAACTTGAATGATGATTTTAACGAAAGATTACGAAGACACAATGTTCAATTCAAGTCCTTGTTCAAGTCCTGGAGTTTAGATTAAGACGCCTAATTATCTCCAATTAATTTTCTTGAATATCGCAAAAGGGATTTGGATATTCCGTTAGTACGAACCAATCAGACAGCAATCTGAAATCTGGATGAAAGGTGGACGAAGGGCAAGGTGACGACATACGCCAGCGCAAATATTGTACATGAGCGAAAGTGAATGAAAGACGATGCCGTTGCAACGTCAATACACATTTTCACCGTTCGTATGGCGCTCAGCGTACTTTTTTTGACGGCCGTTTTGAAGATACTTCCCCCGAAGATAAACGATTAATATGATCAAAACAGTATCTTGAATATTTTCCTCATTATCGAATTTTACGGTAGTAATGTACGAAAATAATTCGTATATTATGAAAACGACTATTGTCAGTTCTGCCTATAAAGACCCTACTGCAGTCCAGCAGCCTGCATAGTAAATTATGCAAAAGGAAAAGCAATAGAACGTTAGCCTACTATTTATCCGTCCTAGATAATCAATTTATGCGATATGTTAAGGATATTGCGCGGGATAATGGATATTCCGAAATTTAGCATGCAATGAGAATCTACACAGAAATGTGTGAGAATGCATAAATAATTATATCCTAAATTGTAAAATTTTATACGAGAAGGAGTAATGTATTCGATTGTATCAACGACGATATAACGATTGTATGTAAACAATCAAGATCAACGCCGTAACGTCCTGATCGAAATTAAAACGAAGGAAAGAAGAAAGAAAAAGATCGACGCTTTCCGCCGGGAAATATATAAGATATGTCAACACGCGCCAATAGTGCCGAGTCTCACAGTGCTGCTCGCTGTTCGATATCGCGAAAAATTCCATCGTCGTTATCGAGTTATGATGTGTCTCATTTCTCGATCGCCCGATATGTAATTTCTCATATCCGGATCCGACGTATAATAATTTTCATTCCCGGATTCCATCTCTATATATAGTACCGCACAAATTTGGCGCGCACGTTTAACGGAGCCCCATGTGAGACGTGACACGTCCGATTTGCAACTTCTGCAGGGAAGATACCATAAAGCCCGCCGAACTGGTCCTCCGGGCGAGGATTCGTATGTAGGATCGGATTATGAAAGGTGTACAAGCACGAAGATTCGCGTGACTTAAGGCACTAACAGTAATACTTAAGGCCTAACGCAGCGTCCCCCTTCTCTTAACATTAGAAGGCACTATCCCCCTATCAGAGTACAACACGTAACAAATGTTAATTTATCGACCCTCGCATTAATCTTAACACGTGGAGAGGTTTTCTCTTTAATGATATAAACTGGCTCTAGCATATACTGGCATCCTGTTCCGTTGTCTCAACTGGCTTCGTAATTAGGTGTCTCCCAGCTGTATACCTTCAGCCGCGCTCAAATGCGGCGGCGTAAACGCGGGGAGGCGAAGGGGGGAGGGGGAGGTGTTTTAAAGAAAACAGGCTAAAATGCTACGTCTGCCACCTACGCACACACAGAGTGTATGTCGCGTGTTCCGTAAAGAATTTTTTCTAAGAGATTATGTACACGATGATGTGTTACGATATCAAGCGAGCGCATTGAGATTTTCGATTTGCCCGAGTCCGATCGTTTGACACGCGAACTGACCGACTTCGGTATCCGTATAATTTCCAACAGCCATTATTTCCGTCTTTCCTCTCGACTGAATTAAATAAATATACGCGCTATCATCACATCACATTATGCAATTAATTCTATCATCGGTTTTGTGCTCTTAAATATTAAACCAAAACTACAAAGACTATTCGAGCTAATTTCTAATTGACTAATTCGATCCGATGGTAATTAATTAAATAATCTTTAAAATGTAGGGCCTAAATTGCACTTCCGAATTATTAATTCCCCGAAATTGCGAATTCGATATGTCAAGGCATCCTGAAATAATCGTTAAAATCGAAAAGTCGTAAAGAACGATATAAATATATACGAAAAGTGAATCGTTCTTTCGACAGAGGTGTCACAGGGTGTTTGAGCATATGTATTTCGGCGCCCCGCGGATATTTATTGAGCTGTTGAGCTTTCAGGATGCCCACGTAAAGTGCGAAGTGACATCGTCACCGCATCGTTCGCGTGCGTACATGCGATCCACGCCAATGCGACCCGGGATCGAAAATCTCAAGGCGCGATAGAAAAGAATAATTTACTCGATTATGCTTGTTCCTTTTCGTAAAGCACGCAAGTGTTAACGAGTTATAGTCTCGTGATTGCACCTTCTACTTTGGCACCTTTACGCGCGGAATCCGAATCTGGCGACTTGCGAATTACGAATCGAAGAGAAGGCTCCTCCTCCTCTTTTTTTTTGTTTGCGATTAATAAGAGAGATTTCGGAGAGCATCGTACACATATAAAGCCATCGGTGAGAATATTGCTCGTTACATAATACTGGCTTCCGGTACGCCGATGTTTTCATATATCCCGCTTCATTACTATACGTAATAAAACGTTTATTAATGATTGTCCGTCTCTAAACGCGAAATTCTTTGTGCATAATCGAAAAATTGCTCTATCAATGCTTTACGTAATGTCTACGATCACGATTGTAGTTTTATTTAACTGAGCATGCTAAGTCCCAAGCTCCGTCACCGGAGTTTCGATATATTCTTTAACTTACATGCTAACCATTTACTTACCTTAATTAATTAATTAATTAATTATTACTGGCTCTCTTCTTCGCGATACATACGATATATGGTGCTCTAGACTAGTTGAGCTGGCCTTAATTAAATGTATGTATATATAATATATATATTATATTATATAAAAAAAAGAAAACAAACTGGAAAATTGAACGAGTAAAAATTGGCTAGAAACACAGAAGAGAACGGATATATGTAACGATACGTCTCGTCGTGCAGCCGAATCTGTAGGCGATCTCGATCCGCGCGAGCGGATCGTTCCTTCCTCAAAATCGCGAAGCAGGCGAACACTTGGTTTAAACTGTTTAAAGCCCGACAATTGGTAAAACGGGTATCTCCCCTCGCGATTATTAATTCAACGCCCGTAATTCCGATTACCGGCTCAATTATCGCGGATTGCAGCTACTCTTTTTCGGAGAGATCCCGTTGGAAAGGCTTACGAGAGACAGCACCGAGAGAGAGAGAGAAAGAGAGAGAGAGAATCGGCCGATCCAAATTAGTTGATCGGCGCCGCGATTACTTAGCTCTTTAAGCGCTAAATCTATAAATGAATGCGATTTGTGTTTGCTTTCGTCGATTTATTTTCTCTTTTTCCTAGTTGCTGCCCGCCTGCTGGCCGACCTAGTCCGAACCTAAGGTAAATACGGAACGGGGCCGGCGCGCGGCGCGGCTCTTCAGGTCCCAAATGTAAAAAATATCATCGTCGTTTCTCGTCTAGGATCGCTCGGGGTCAACCAGCCGATTACCGCCGAGGGCCGTTCTCCAGCTTTCCTCCATTTTCCTCCGACCGCCGACCGGCGTGCGCTTTCTCTCGTCGCCGCGCGACTCTAGACGGCCCTCACCATCAGTGCCTCTTCATGTGGAGCGACAAGTGGTCGCTCCGCGAAAACGATCGCTGACAGAGATGGCACTTGAACGGCTTTTGGCCCGTGTGTTTGCGATAGTGCCGTGTCAGCTCGTCCGATCGTGCGAATTTCCACGTGCAGCCTTCCCATGTGCACTGATACGGCTTCTCGCCTGCAACAGATGAATAGAACTATGAAAATATCTTGATGATAGAACTATATACTAATGTCGATATTAACGAACGTATTAATATCCCTTGTCATTTAAAGAAAAAAAAATTACATTTTGCGAAGCCGAGTTTAAAAAAATTTTCCCAATCATGGCCTGCACAAGGAAGACATTTGTTGTCTGCCTATAGACTCGGCATAAGAAAAATCCATATCTTTAAGCATTTTACAAGTTGTCATAAAATGCTTATGGATTTTTCTTGTGTTAACAGTACATAACGCATGCAAAACTCATATAAATGGACATAAAATTTATATATATATTTATATATAATCTGAAATAGGAAACGTAAACACAGAAATGTGAAATTTATGTTGATTTTCACATTTATAATTTTTTTATCCAATTATGAGTTTTGCATGTGCTACATACCGTTAACAACATAGATAATATTGCAAGACTTACATCCTAATCTGCATATCGCGTGAAGAAAGACATTGAAGTTAGAAGTCATATATTTCTCGTATAACAATAGCATCGAGAGTTTTGCATTAAACTTTAAAATATGTTAAATAATTATCGAAATATCATTTTATATCGTATCCGTTTCAATTCTGGGAAAACGAATGCTTTAATTTGATTAATTTAATTGATGTTAATTCCTTTTATTAACAAAACAATACATTTGTATGATATTTATCATATCGCAAATCATACATCCGGTGCAACGCACAGTATAAAATCTCTTGTCGTATTTGGCTTGCCTCACAATCAGTAGAAGAAGTACATCTGAATCGAATTTTTCGTTACGTAACGAAGTGCAACAGACAATTACTGAAATGTCGTGTAAATACATCGTCTTAACGTTGATGATCGTGATGATCACATCGGTCGCTTTGATTCAAGGAGCATCAAGTAAATATTCATTTCCTTTTTACAAATTATTTTTCTAATAATCCTTTTATGATGTTTGACTGTGCATATAAAAATGTCAAAATATCTGCTTTTATAGTTGCGCCGTTGCCTAAATGTACACCCGGTTTTACATATTATGATGGATGTAATTCATGTTCCTGCGATGTAACTATATTAAGATGGATTTGCTCAGCAAGATGGTGTGGTGGCATAACTCTTAAACCACCACCATGTCTGTGTATATAAAAATATTTTCTCTTCAATGCTGCAGTGATGTAATTGTCGCACTGACGAATACGCTAAAACGTTGCGTTTCAATCCCTCCATCGATAAATTTCAGTGCAATATAAATTTTGAAGTAATAAAAAAAGAATACATATATATAAATTTCTTTTTATTTCCACTCATGATGGCGCACAGTGAATCAACTGTCATGAAAAAATATATATTTAACATAGTAATTCATTACTTGCTCGCATCAAAATGTTGATTTTTTTTTAATCGTTACATTTGCTTTGATTCGCGATGAATATAATGATTCATTTCAATTCTAAGAAAATGAATTTGATTAAGTATTAATCTTAATTTCTTTTATCAATAAAACAATACACTTGTATGATATTTATCATATCGCAAATCATGCCTACATTTGAGCAATGCACAGTATAAAATTTCTTATCGCGTATTGGGCTTGCGTCAGTAGAAAAGTTACACCCGAATCGAATTTTTTGTTACGGAACAAAATTTATGAGACAATCAGTGAAATGTCGCATAAATATATCGTCTTGATGATTGTGATGATCACATCGGTAGCTTTAATTCAAGGAGCATCAAGTAAGTATTTATTTTCTTTTTACAATTTTTTTGTAATAACCCTTTGATGACATTCAACAATGAATATAAAAATAATGTCAAAATATCTGTCCTTTACAGTTGCGTCATTGCTCAAATGTGCACACGGTTTTACCTATAATGATGGATGTAATTCATGTTCCTGTGATCTAACCATTCCTAATTGGTCTTGCACAGAAAGATGGTGTGGTGACATTACCCTTAAGCCACCACCGTGTCTGTGTAAATAAAAATACTTTCGCTTCAATACAGTGCGATGTAATTGTTCGCACTGACGAATTTGCTAAAATTTTGCGTTTCAATCTCTCCATCGATAAGCTTCATTGTAATACAAGTTGTCAAATAATTAAAAAGAAATACATGGGTAAATTTCTTTTCATTTCCTGTATAAAAATCCTGTTAATTCTATATTAATTCTATATTAATACATATTATGTGTTACGCGTGCGCGCGTAAATGTGTATAAGTGTGTGGGATATTTATACGTATTGCATATTCCTAAAAATACTCATTATTCGTCCTGAGATGTCATGTATTTTTTTATATATTGAACTAATTTTGGATTGATAAGTAGATCAATAAGTAGATCGATAAGTAGATCGATAAGTATATTGTTTACATTGAAAATAGAAGCTTTGATTCGATCAATATATTGATTTCGATCTTCTAATCAATAGCTTTCCATCAGATAATCAAATCCGCAAGAACATGTATTGTAAACTGTGTGTCGCAATGTTAGTAGAATTCGACAACAACCGAATATAGTCTACTGTTTTTCTAATAGTAGATATCACAGACGCGTACTTCGCGCACGCTGTTTGATTTTTTATTCTTTATTTTTTACTATAATAACTCTTAAATGTGTCCAATTACATTATAATTATATTACACTATTAACTTGATGTGCACAAATGTCAAAATATACGATAACTGTTTTGCCGCTGGCAAAGTAAGCGCAGTGAAAGAACTAATCGGCATCGCAGAAAGGCGACAACAATAAACTTCGAGAAATGCGAATAATCGATTTTTTTAGATAGGGAACTAAAATACGTTAAATGATTATCGAAATATCATCTTATCATTTCGTTTCAATACTAGAAAAACAAATGCTTTAAGTATTGATATTAAGTATTAATCCTTTTATCAATAAAACGATGCACTTGTGTGATATTTATAGTATCGCAAATCATACATCTCGGGCAACGCACAGTATAAAATGTCTTATCATTTATTTGACTTGCCTCAGTAGAAGAACTACACCCAAGTCGAATTTTTCATTACGTAACGAAGTGCATCCGACAATCAGTGAAATGTCGCGTAAATATACCGTCTTAATGTTGATGATCGTGATGATCACATTGGTCGTTTTAATTCAAGGAGCATCAAGTAAGTATTTATTGTATTTCCTTTTTACGAATTATTTTTGCAATAATCCTTTGATGACGTTCGACAGTGAATATAAAAATGATGTCAAAATATCTGTCTTTTACAGTTGCGCAGTTACCCAAATGTGCACAAGGTTTTGTCTATCATGACGGATGTAATATATGTTCCTGCGATCTAAGCAAATCTGGTTGGGCTTGCACAAAAATGTGGTGTGGTGGTATAACCCTTAAGCCAGCACCGTGTCTATGTAAATAAAAATACTTTCGCTTCAATGACGTAATTGTCGCACTGACGGATATGCTAAAACAATCAATCCCTCCGATAAGCTTTAGTGCAACATAAATTTTCAAATAATAAAAAAGAACTACACATGTGTAAATTTCTTATCATTTCCTCTATAAAAATCCTATAAATTATGTATCAATGTATATGTATATGTATGTGTGCGTGTGCGCGCGAGTGTGTGTGTATGTGATATTACGTATTCCTGAAAATACTCATTTCTCACCTTGAAATATTATATATTTTTATGTAGGTATAAAATTATTTTTGGATCGAAAACGTTGTTTATATTGAAAATAGAAGTTTTGATCCGATCAATATATTGATTTCGAACTTTTAATCAATAGAAAACCTTCCCGAATAGTCAAATCTGCTAAAAGCATGCATTGCAAACTGTGTGCTGCAATATTAGTTGAATTGGATAACAGTTGAGCTACTGTTCTTCTATAAATGTTGGTTCGCATTAGAAAACGAAAAGGCCCTGCATTATGATGATATCGTACACTCTATTCCTGTTGCAATTCTGTTGCTGGCAAGATGTAATGGTAAAAACCGAGCTTGAAGAAAACACAGTGGATAGGAACCCGCATTACAATTATAATCAAATTTCCTGGAATATTATTGGTAGTTCGCTATCTGGATTGTTATAAAATGATATTTAGTCGTAAAATGTCATATCATTAATATTATCATAATGTTCACAATGTAAGTCATGTTACGCTGGTAACGTTTGGTATAAAAAATCGTCCATTCGCTAGCATTGAACAAAGAACTTGCATTGTAAGTTTAAACTTTGCATTATATAACAGTGTATAAAATCATTATTAAAATGTGCAAATCTACTCTTCTCATGCTGATTATCGTAGCGATTGTTTTAATTCAAGGAGCATGTAAGTCTTTATCTGTTTACATATTACAAATGCCAATATCACGATTATACGTGTCTAAATGATGTGTATATCTATAATAATACGTTTGATTGTAAGCAAATTTTTTGCGTACAGTGTCGAAATTAATATTACGTCGGTGACATGAAGCAAAAAAAAAATGAAAACTGTTATTGCGTAGATTGTAAATTTAAATGCTATCCGGCTTTACCGTGTAATTGGTAATTCCTTGGAATAATACGTGCAACTGTGAAAGAATTTTGCAACGATGGAATTGTCACACTAATACAATTATACACACTAAATTCTGTGTATTAACTTCATTGATTGGCTGTAGCGTGATGAAAAAATACAAAAGTAAATAAAGAAAATACCTATATATGATCATTTGTTAACATACCTCGTTACATATTATTATACTACATTAATTTATAACATTGTGGATAACACGTGGATTTATAACACGTGTGCTGTTATAAAACCTTTATGAGTACGATCTACGTATTAGATTCGTTAGTTTTTCAAACGTATCTACATTTTACCTAGAATCAAATCGTAAAAGATAATCGTTAAAGCTCCAATCTCATTGGAATAAATCAACTTTTTAATTCCCTTTGCCACATCAATATTCTTACCTTTTTTATCCTTTTAATCCTTTTTAAGTTTGATTTCTATTCTAAACTTTCCACATCACCTTGTAAAGATAAGAGAAATAGAGAGACAACATAGAAAAGACGATAAAAAATACAAGAAAATAAAAACTATAAGGCACACAGACACGTTTACACATAGACAGTGGATAAAAAATTTATATTTACTTATTGTTAGATTACCGTAGAAGAGCGATCGTGGCGCAGGGAGCTGCGTGGCAGCTTTCTGTGCCGAAGATCAAGATCCAAATCCACTCAATATAACTGAAAATCGATTTTAATCGATCTAGAAGCGTTCGCACCTCTCGAAAGGAGATGGCAAACCACCGAGAGTATCTCTACCAAATAACATATTTTAATAAAGAAAGGAGGATGAGCAGTCTCATAAAGCCTAGTGTTTAACAGCAGACTGTTAAAAAAACCTTAAGAATTAGCGAGGAGTCACAGAGGAACTTTTAGACCTAGGTGACGTTAGGCCTTTTGTATGACTATCCGCATCATAACGACTATCATAGATTACCATAGTTCAGTTACTTTATCTTAGCAAAGTAATCTCTGGAAATATATTTTCAAGATTCAAAAAAGATTCATTTAAGATACTGCGACGCAAAAATCTTTCTCCTCTCGAGACGAAAATTTTTAAAATAAATAAAAAAACTGTCATCAAACGTTTCTTTAGCGTATGTATAGCCCCTTTACATACATGGTAAAAATGAAATTTCTTCAGAATTCCAGATGTTCCCAATTTTTCTCGATAGTAATTCAATTCCCTGTTTTTATAATAATCCTTCGGTGACGTTTGACATTGCATATAAAGATGTCAAAATATCTGTTTTTTATAGTTGCGCTGTTGCCCAGATGCGTAAACAGAATTACCTATCATGACGGATGTAATACATGTTTCTGCGATCCAACATCATCTGGTTGGGGTTGCACAAAAATGTGGTGTGGTGGCATAACCCTTCAGCCAGCACCGTGTCTATGTGAATAAAAATACTTTCGCTTCAATGCAATGACATAATTGTCGCACTGACGGATACGTTAAACCTTCAATCCTACCAATAAGCTTTAATTAGTGCAACATAAATTTTCAAATAATAAAAAAGAAATACATATGTGTAAATTTCTTATCATCTCCTCTATAAAAATCCTGTAAAAAAGATCTGTATTAATATATATTATGTGTGCGTGTGCGCGCGAGTGTGTGTTTACCTGTGTATACATGATATTATGTACTCGTATTCATATACAATAAAAATACTCGTTTCCCACTTTGAAATAGCACGTATTTTTATATATGAACTTAATTTTGAATTGATAAATAACGTTATTTATATTGTAAATATAAGTTTTGATCCGATCAATATATTTATTTCGAATTATTAATCAATAGAAAAGCTTCCCGAATAGTGAAATTAAGTGTGCTGCAATGTTAAGAACTTGACAATAGCCGAGCACAGTACTGGTTTTCTAATATCGGAGAAATGTATTAGAAAATAAACAGATCCTGCATTATAATATCATGATGGTATTATTGGTGTCATGCGCTCTATTCTTGCTGCAATTCTGTTGTGTTATTATGCTGGCAAGATGTAATGACAAAACCCGAGCTTAAAGAGGACACATTGAATAGCAATCCGCACTAAAATTATAATCAAATTTCCTGGAATATTGTTGGTATTATTAGCATTTTGCTACATTTTGCTATCTGAGTTGTCATAAAATGATGTCTAGTCATATCGTTAATTATCATAATACTCACAATGTCGTATATTACGCAATGATTTGGTATAAAAGATCGTCTATTCGCCAGCATTGATCAAAGAACTTGCATGAAACTTCGTATTGCATAACTAAGTGCGTAAATCATTAAAATGTCATACAAATTCGCTTTTCTGATGCTAATGCTCGTCATCATCGATTTTAATTCAAGGTTCGTGTAAGTCTTTATCTGTTTTCATATATGTTTTCAATATCACAATTGTAAGTTTATGAATGCACAATAGCACATATGATCATAAAAACCTTTCCTCTTCGTACAGTTGCATGCGTAAATGGTGAAGTACAAATGGACAAATACAGAAGAATTTGTAGTTGCTTACCCGGGAATAAATAAAGATGCACAACGCATTGTCCCATGAGATAATACATAAAACTGAGAAGGAATTTCCACTTTTATCTAATAACGTTATCGTCACACGTAATTGTCACACATATAATGCATAAATACATTGAAATCCTGCGCATTAAATGCTTCATCGGATATCGATGGGTTGTAGCGTAATGTAAAAATACAAGTAAAGAAAATATACATAACCATTTTTTAATGGATTATTAATGGAGATTTTTATCTTGTTACATATTATATAATACTGCATTAATTTATAACTCTGTAGTTTTATATAAATTATTACAGAATCTTTACGAGTATGATACGTATCGGATTCCTTGATTTTTCAAACGTATCTACTATCTACGTTTCACCTAAGAGCCAAATCATAAAAGATAATCACTAAAGCTTCAATCTCAACTTGAAACACTCAACTTTCTAATTCTCTTTCCCTCGTCAATAGCCTTATCCTTTTTAACCTTTTCTAACTTTGATTTCCATAAGCTTTCCACATGGTATATTGTTTCGTATAATAAGAAAGATAGAAAATACAAGAAGAAAATAGAAACTACAAAACACATGGACACGCTTACAGTGTGTACTAATATCGTAATGATTCTAATAGTCAATAAGAAAATAAGAATCAAATGTTCGCGCAGCGATTTACGAGCGATTTATATACTAATTCATTTTATTTTAATCGTATGCAATATAAAAAAAACAAATCCGAGCAATTTCAAGACTTCACAAAAACTAAATAACTGTGTCAATTCGGTGCGCATTTTAAATGATTAGACGCTAATGAAACACCGCACACGCGATAATCTGATGTAGCATCATCGCGCGTACGTACACATACGTTATTTTCCAAATTCCGTTTAAACGTGCATTATGCGTTCAAGCGTGCCTTAGCCGCGGTCTAGTCTATAACGACGTGAGAAAAAAGACAGAAGGAGCTATGAAAAGAAAACACGGTCCAGATGTCAAGATCACGTGGGACTCTGTTCCTCCTTTCTCGCCCTGAGATCATGTATTTTTATGTATTATATTAATTTTGGATCGACAAGTAACGTTATTTATACTCTCTAAAAGCGAATGAATGGAATTGCCACTGATTTTCACAATCACTTAAAACTGTGATAAACAGTGGAGTATTTCAATGTTGTTTCAGTGATAACATACTGATTCAAACAGTGATATCACTGAAAGCCAGTGAAATATTCCACTGTTTATTATAGTTGTAAGTACATAGAGAATCAGTGGTGATTTCACTGATTCAATTTTAGAGAGTATTGAAAATAGAAGCTTTGATAAATACATCAATCCTCCGATAAATACATCAATTTCGAACTTTTAATCAAGAACAGTTTCCCAGATAGTCAAATTTACTAACAATAGGAGCATTGCAAATTGTGTACTGCAATGTTAGTAGAACTGGACAACAGTCGATTACAGTCTATTGTTTTTCTAATGTCGGTAGAAATGTATTAGAAAACAAATAGACTCTGCATCATAATAGTATTCCATTCCTGTTCCAATTCTGTCGTTTTATTATATTGACAAGATATAATGGCAAAAACTAAACTTATAAAGAAGACACAATAGATACGAATCTGCATGAAAATGCATATGATTTCCTGCAATCTGTTGGCACACTGTTAATATTTTGCTATCTGGGTTGTCATAAAACGATATCTAATCATATCGTTATTTATCATATCGCTCACAATGCAAGTCAGATTACGCTTTAATTTTTGGTATAAAAGATCGTTCATTCGCCAGAAATGATCAAGGAATTTGCAAGTTTAAACTTTGGATTGTATAACAAAGTGCATAAATCATTATTAAAATGTACAAATTTACTCTACTGATGTTGATGACCGTTATCATCGCATTGACCGTTTTAATTGAAGGAACACGTAAGTCTTTATCTGTTTACATATTACAAGTGCCAATGAAAAGTACAATCAATCATGATTGTACTTTTCATTCAATAATGTGTACATATATAATAGTACATATGATTGTAAAAACATTTTTTTTCGTACAGTTGCATGTAAAAACGGTGAAATGCTGGTCATCAAATGCTTATCAACTTGTCTTTGCGTGAATAATAATTGGCAATGCAGATCGACGCCGTGTCCCTGGCCTTGAGTTACATGAAACTGTAAAAGGATTTCTACTTATCTGCTACGACGGCTGCAGATAACATTATATTTACTTTAGATTTCCGTAGTTCCGTTACTTTATTTTAGCAAAGTAATCCCGGGGGGATCAATATATTGTCAAGATTCAAAAAAGATTCATCGAGAAGATGCAATAAACACAAAAATTTTTCTTCTTTCGAGAGACGAAAATTTTTTTAATTAACCTTTAAACCACCATCCAAAAAAATCACACTAATCACAATGTCGGTCTGACAGACTGCTATTATACTCTCACTAATTTTATAAGTTAATTATAATAAAAAATGTATGTTTTCTGAATACTTGTTGATGGGGAAAAGGAAAAATATGTTTTAATGTGAAAGTTAACAAAAAAATCTCATATACAAAAGAAATAAAATATATTTAAATGATGACAAATATACTTTATAAATTGTTTAAATTTAAAGTGAATAAAAAATATTATTTTAACAATTGTCTTAAAATTGAATAGTTGACTAGTGAAAACAAAAGTGTAACTTATTATCAATGTTATTAGAGTTATTTATTATATAATCTCTCTTATGTTATGCAACTATATATTTAAAGGAACTGTTTGAACTTTTAAAAACATTGAAGAAATACATACATTTTCAATACTGTGAAAAAGTAACGCCAAAAACCATAACACCGGTTTGTGAGACCGCTACAATTTTTCAAACATTTTATATTTTACACCTTTCCAGCGAATGACAATAAAACTACCACAGTGTTTCGTAGGAATAGATATGGGCATATGAAGGTACTATGAGTTTAGAGTGTCTCTTGTGAATATTAAGAAAACTGTTGACAAGTAAAGCTTCAATAGCGGTCTGTGAGACCGATATAGTGGTTTAAAGGTTAAATATATATTATATTTAAATTTTCATCAACATAATCTTAATATTACTAAAATTAATAAATTTGTATTTCAAATTGCTATTACATACTGATTCTACAGTAATGAATAAATTATACATTCGTTGACGATGAATCTTCTCTTAAATCTTAATAAGTTATAATATAAATGAAGCTAATTTAAACATCTAAATTTTCATCAACGTTGTCCTATATGTTTTGTGAGAATTATAAAATGTATTTCAAACTGCTATTGTGTACTGATTCTATGTCTATAATAGTCATATTAATAAGAAAATAATAATTAAAGATTCGCGAAGGACTTACGACCTTATACTGATTTATTTTATTTTAACCGTGTGCAATATATGACAAAAATCAGGGCAACTTCGAGATTTCACAAAAACTAAATGACTGTGTCAATTCGATGTGCATGTAAACGGTTAGACGCTAATGAAGCACCGCATGTACGCGCGGTGTAACAAAATCGCATAATATAATAGTTCAACTGCGTGCGTAAAATTTAATATAAATTTTTTGGATATATCAAAATAACTTTGAATGTATAAAGTAGAGCGTTTATCGAGCAATAATTTAAATTTCGGCAAAACTCAATTGTTAAGTGACAGACGATCGCTTAACGCGCATTTTTTTTTTAACGAAATAATTTTTTTCAGATCTGTCTATTCTGAAAGCATGATTTGTTAATTGTTAAAGTTATTTCGATCCTACAATTTACGCTACACTGTGCTGTGAAAAGAAAACGATTATGTGCACCGTGTGATCGCACAGAAAGGAACGAAGTCGAACGACGGAGTGAGGAATTGCTCCAGATGCATTACAGATACGGCTTGGTCGGTACGGCGCGGTGACGTAATCGCCGTCAAGTTCATCCGCCGCTTCGTGCAGCGCGAGACGAAGACGGACTGGCGAATCGAACGTTACGATCAGGTGGCCGGTCCGCGATCTCATTAAATCTACGGCCGGTTGAACTCGGGGTAATGGCCCGGCCAGGTTGAGCGACGGAGGCGACGACGTGACCCACGTCTCTTTCTCTTTCTCTCTCTCTCCAGGTCCGATCTCGCTGGAAACCGTCGCGGTTTGATCGATATATCTGCGCGTCCGTCTGCGAATCTCCGCGCGGGATTCCCCAGCGAGGAGCAGCGCCTCGGCTGCATGGTCGCAGGTCGTAAGTCACAGTGTGGGTCAAGACGAGGAGTGTTATTACCGAGAGAGGATCCGGCCGGGCGAGGAGGGAAGTGGGATCGATGCTTAACCCTTAATTTCGTATTTGCCCTTGCAAATCGCCGATGTTAAGGCACGGCCGGAACAATTATCGCGTCGTGGGGTGTGAGCCGCGCCAAGAGTCGCGGCTCGCTCCTCATCCTCGACGTAGAAATGAGGCAGAGTTAACGCGCATTTATTATTACGCATTAGGGACGATTAATCTTTATAAATCGGACGTTTTAATTATCGCGCGGTGCACATGCATTAGGAGAAGGGGGGGGGGAGGGGAGATCGCCCGTGAGATCGTTTTAACGAGGAATCGCGCGCTTTCGGAGTTACCCCGCGGCGACTTCGCGCGTAGATAAAGCGGTCCGATTCGCAAGTGACAAGATAAGCCCATTTCTTCTCTGTGAAAAAGCGAAACGTTCTATCTTTCGCCGCGATTTATCCCATTGTCTCGACACTCTGCACTCTGAAATAATAGAGCGAGATATACGCACTCGCGCGTATATCTCGCGGAAAATGGATCGCCGTCGTTTACAGCGACTCTGCGCTGCTCGCATTGTCCGTAGCAACCCATATGTTACCCGCGGCTAGACGCTAGAAAGAAAACCAGTCATTCCGGAATATTAGCGTCACCTTTTCGACGGCACCGCGGGTCTAATTACCGAACTGGTAATTAACGAGGCAGGCCTGATGGAAGTCGGGGTAATTAGAGACGCGCGACTCAGGGGAACGGCGAGCGCGGTTTTCCCCCGATCTCTCGATCCGTGCCGATTGGAAAGGATCGAGCTTTAGCGGGGCGCGGATGATCGAAGGCAGCTTTTCTCTCTCTCTCTCTCTCTCTCTCTCTCTCTCTCTCTCTCTCTATCTCTCTGTGGTAGATCTAAATCGGCCGTTTTAAACGTCTCGACGCCCATCGGGCGAATATTATTGCGCAACGCGCGCCGGGGATACGCGAAACGACTAATGACGTTGTGAAGGAAGGTGCCCGCGCGCCTCACGCCGGTCTCGTTACGCAATCGTGAGTAATTAGTCCATTTACGAGCCGCGCGCACGTAATATCGGCCGATGGGCAAAATATGGACGGAGGGTCGCATTAGTTCTCCCGTTATTAATGCATTTCGATCGCATTTTTCCTTTTCCGTTGCGCGTTTATTGCGCCGTAGATTAACGTCGCGTTTACTCCGCATTCGTCCTTCCTTTCTTCTTCGGCAGCGTTATTTAATCGCGGGATTAGCCGACCGTTTGCCGGCGCCGCGCTCTCACGGCGCGTGTGCATCCGTGCGCACGGCGAAGATCGAGGGGAGGATAGGTCGAAAAAAAAAAAAACGAAAAAAAGAAAAAGATACAATTTATGGAATACGGGCTCTCGTACGCGAAAATCACTCGCACTCGCGTTGCGCTCCACACTTTACTCTCATCTCGTTTCATACAGATACATATTATATCCTCGAGCTCTTTTGCATCTCGTATTCTTACATCTCGTAGCGTGCCTAATGAGGTGATACGCCCATTAATCTCGCCGCAATACATATATATATAGGTATATATATTTTTTTAATAAAATGCAAATGCATTACGATTCATTTGTCACGCGTACTGAGGAAAAACAGGCGGAGACATTGTTTAATTGTCGCATATAATAACACGCCGCGTCCTTTGTTAGATACTTCGGGATACAGAGACGAGGGAGAGAGAGAGAGAGTTCATTCGTCTCGAGACAAGACTGTCGGAGGAGTCACGCAGAGCGTAACTTTCAAGATAGCAATTGTATCACACCGCAACGTGATGTACATATACAAACAAGATATTGATATGTACATATACAAACAAGATACCCGGAGTATCGAGCTACGCAATAACGCAAACATATTTCCAATGTTTTATAGATATGTGAATCGCGTTAATCTCCTGTACGTGAAGAAAATTGAGCTATTTATGTCGTATTACATGTACAATATTCGCCGCACCGTGTTACGACATCGTTGAACATGCATGTAAATTAGGAGCAGCTTGTACATACAATACGTTTCGCGGATCCGCCGTTAACCGTCGGTTAACGAAGCCGTGCGCTTCGAGACATTTGCCGCACGAGGCATATAATTATCACATCACTGCAGCATGTGAGAAAGTTGCTAGGACGCACGGTTGAGCGACACGTACGATGCGTGCTGGTAATGAGGAGCGAACTAACAGCTCTCTCGGCTAGAACGCTAGGAAGAGGAGAAAAAAAAAGGTGAAGCGTGTCGTTTCGTGGATGCAACGTTCACGTGATGTCGAGTTCGAGGCTGGTAATGAGACGCCTGAGCGTCTCCTACGCACCTTGAAATTACATACGCCTCGAATAATTCATCCCGCTTTTAGGCACACAATTGAATTTGCTTCACTCCTCGACGAAGGAACGCGAATCCTTTACTTTTAACATCACAAAAATAGATGTTCTTTTTTCTGAAGTAGATAGCAATTATTGAAAACACAAAAAAGAAGTTACAACTGCAATTACAATTGAAGGTAGAATTATTATACATAAGTTCATTTATATCTATTAGATTTTTTATTTTAAATAAAATCTCATTTTCTCGCTTTTGCTTCCTGTCTGAAACTGAAGTTTATAATTGCAAAGTTGTATGTGGATTTACTTTGTTCATATCTCGAACTTTCCAGTCATGAAATCATGTAAAGAGCCTAAAAGCCACGATCAGCCACGTTAATTGATACGACATTTGATATTTAACGTAGGTCATGAAATCAATCATCCTTCTCTCTAAATTCGACCACGAATCAAGCCCAAGTGTCGAACATGAAAGTGAGCCCGACTGCACGTTAGCCGCGGCTTAAGATTATGGGAAATTATTTGCAGAAAAGAGAGCAGCGGGACGATTTGCAGCGACCAACGAGAGAGAACAATGTGGAGGAGCATGCTCGTCAGGAAATCGTTAACCCAGCGGAGGTAATCGCAGCCTTCGGCATTAGTGCATACGTGCATTGTTAATAACAGGGTACTCGAGAGGCACTACTCCACTCCGTAGAAGAAATCCACAGAGCGGACTGCCTGCGATCATCGGCGTATCCTTCGATAC